ATCTATTGTGTGCATGTTAACGGTATGAGAAATGCATCTATTGTGTGCATGTTAACGGTATGAGAAATGCATCTATTGTGTGCATGTTAACGGTATGAGAAAATGCATCTATTGTGTGCATTTTAACGGTTTCGACTTCATTCTGGTCTACTTCTGAAAATTGTTGAGAAATTATTAAATTCGCATGAATTCTATATATATATTCTATATTGTGTTCTCTTCAATGTTTCAGTTAGTTTAAAGAGGAGCCTTGAGAAGGTTATCATGAACATCATTGGATACTATTTATTTATAATTGTAAGTATGAACAGTAATAATGATGTTTTTAAATATGTTGGTTGGGGTCTAACATTGTCAAAAATAAATAATAAGCCCCCCACTAACCCAACCCTCTTTTTTTGATGAAAATAGCCCAACCAAAAATAAAATGTGAAATCTACTTTTGTAATTAGATAAATGTAATCAGATAAGCTTTAAAAAAAAACTTTTGCAATTTCTTCTTTAGAACGCAAGACTGTTTTCTCGCTCTTTTGAGTGTTGAGTCACAAAGTCAAATTGGCATTACATCACGTAATTTCAAGTACAAAGATGGTAATGCCAGGTTTACAACTGTGCCTTTAAAGTTTTGTCTGATCAAATATCATTTAGATATCAATGTTGATATCTTTTAAAACTATTTTTTTCAATTGTGGTTTCAATACCAAAGTGACTTGCGCATTTATACTAAATTATCAGGACTAAACACTTGTAAAGCTAGAAAAAACGACAATCTCTTTCACCTTATTGGTCACTGGTCAGATAAAGTTTTGAAGGTAATCGTTGTGAATTGGTAATTTCCATCTTGCCCTGCACTCGGGACTAACCAGAGTGAGAAGCATTCGGTTTCTTTTATTTGAAATCGAACGTGTTTTTGTCAATGATTCAATCATCTTTAAACTTACGAATTTGTTTATTTTATACTTTATATTCAAAGCGTATATGCCAACAAAAAAGTAATTAGGAAAAAAGGCTAACAAATTATGTATAAAGGGTCAAATTGCATGATCGAAAGTCACAGATTTCTGAAATATTGACAGACCCGGTAAATCCACGTGCCTGGTTAGGCGTAAAGATCTAAGACAATCTCTAAGCTGTTTCTTAACTGTCTCTTTTTAATTAACGATTTTATTTTAGAGTGTACTTTGTGTACCAAAGTGCAGTTGTACAACTCAAGCTGCGTGTACAACACAGACTGCATGTACAGCAGCACAGGCTTCATGTACTGCTCTTATACCCTTTATCTCGCACAGGCCTGTCAGACATATTATTATTATCAAGATTTATATTTATACACAAAAATAAATATTTACCTGTAAACTTGCAATTTGAAAAAAAAGTTTGAACTCAAATAGAAAAGTCGTCTTCATTATATTAATATAAACACCGACCACTATAAGTTACTAGTAGAAATATTTGCTTTGTAACACCATCAAATACAGCTACGTATTGCAATAAAGTCGTCTTTCTCATTCATAGTTTTCTGATTGTAATTGAAATATCAAAATCTTTTAATAATGAAAAGACGACATTATACCATGTTTGGCATCAAGGATAACAGATGAGGGTAGATTTGAAAATATAAAAATAGGTAAACCAATTGTTTAATTGTTAAATGATAATTATTATAAATCAAATATTTATTCACTGACATTCACATTTCTTTACAAGGCCCTTGGAGGCATAATTCTAGGTGACCCTTCATTTTTGAATAGAATGTTCACAACGGTGGACTATAAACCTTAATATGATAAATAATGTGGAAGACATCACAGTTTTTAATGCTTAAAAAGTGTTTAATTCTAATAATTTCTTCATTGTTTCTGAAGTAAGAAATCTTAATATTCAGTTGGTAAGTTTAGTCTGAGTGAATCTAGCTGCAATACAACCTTTGTAATCCTTTCTGGATTCTACAATCATGTTAGTAGGTAATATTTTCAGTTTAACCCTAAACAGGCTGGGGTGGGGGGCGTTTGGCGACCCCCTGTAGTTTTTTGTCCTAGCACTCTCATTTTTAACACTATCACAGACCACAGTGTCACACTTTGATATTTGTTTAAAACAAAAAAACACATTTTTTTTCATTTTTTCGACCCTTTTTCAGGCATTTGTTCAACCCTCCCTAGCACCCGAACTATTACAGTTATCGGTCTAATTTTTTTCCCATGAGCTGACCTTGACAAATTCGGCTATGAACATGCATTTCAACCCTTTACCTATTCTCTAAGACATTTTTCTAGGGGGGGGGGCGCCAAACGCAACCCCCAAGGCTTTACATAGATTCAGACCTCCCCCAGCCTTTACAGGGTTTTAAGGGACTGTTCACTCAACTAAAGATTATCATGATTCCACTATTTTGTTTTAACAATATAAGAGGTTATTCAGAATCAAGACAATATTTATTGTTGTAGTTTTTATAAACTAGTTTCAAAACTAGTTTGTTTACTTCAAGCCAATCAACCCCATGGTTTCTGAGCAGTATAAATACTTCACAGTAAATACTCACAAACCCTATCTCCCTACCTTATGCATACATACCTTGGACCCCCCTACCTTCTGTTTACATACATTGGACCCTATATCCCCTACCTTATGCATACATACCTTGGACCCTATCTCCCTACCTTATGTATATACATACCTTGGACCCTATCCCCCTACCTTCTATATATACATCCCTTGGGCCCTATCCCCCTACCTTCTGTATTTACATACCTTGGACCCTATATTCCCTACCTTCTGTATATACATACCTTGGACCCTATCCTCCTACCTTCTGTATACACATACCTTGGACCCTATATCCCCTACCTTCTGTATATACATCCCTTGTACCCTATCCCCTACCTTCTGTATATACATCCCTTGGACCCTATATCCCCTACCTTATGTATATACATACCTTGGATCCTATCCCACTACCTTCTGTTTATAAATACCTTGGACCCTATATCCCCTACCTTTTGTATTTACATACCTTGGACCCTATATCCCCAACCTTCTGTATTCATACCTTGGACCCTATCCATTTCGTGTGTAATTGTATAAATACTGCTACTACTGAGTATTCTTTTGCATACACATATAATGGTCTGCTCTAGGGTTCTTGAGATAAATACTGCTACTGCTGAGTATTCTTCTACATACACATATAATGGTCTGTTCTAGGGTTCTTGAGATAAATACTGCTACTGCTGAGTATTCTTCTACATACACATATAATGGTCTGTTCTAGGGTTCTTGAGATAAATACTGCTACTGCTGAGTATTCTTCTACATGCTCTAATTCTGATGAAACCACCACAATCTTCTTTAATAATATGAAATCTGTGTTTTCAGACTGTTCTAAAGGATAGTTGGTCGATTTTGAGAAACTACTGAACGTAGAAAATTCGAGAATTCAAACTCCGAAATTTTAAAAAATGAATGATTTGCATTTTCTTCCTTTGATTTGTAACAAAACGACCAACTTTATCAGAGCTTGATACAAATTTAAATTTGAAAATTTGTAAAAATATTATTGAAACGTCAAGTTCCCCTGGCGATTTAATTGCACAGCTTTCTTGCTTCATTAGGTAAACAAAAACTTTATTTTTCATAATTTGTTTTTAATAATTATTATTTCTAATTTTGAAGTGAAGAAATAGTTGTAGAGTTCCAATTACCCACAGTACCTCTCCTCTTAGGAATATAATTATATTTTAATTCCATTATTCTCAACAATCAATTATAATCTTAAAATCTCGAATTTTATTCAAACAAATTTCAAAACTGATGTTTAGTCTCTAAATAAAGCTGAGAGAAAATGTTTACCTAATATTTTAATATTTTCTGATCTCTGCAACCTGATGGTGTAAACCTTTGTTATTTTTAAATAAAAAAGTTTGTCGAAAATATAAATTTATGATTAATAGAAAAGGAAACTTCAAGATACTCTATGCTTTACCTACCTGAGCTGGGCAGATCGTCAACAAACTCATCTAATGTACTGCCCAGACCATATATGTACCCTATGTACAACAACAATGATCAGGACAGTGATTTGTACAGTAATTCTGCCAATGATGATAATACCAAGAATAATGATGATTTTGAGGATATTATCATTCAATGATGATTATCACAAGAATATAAATATTTTTTGGATATTATCAATGATTATTTTACCAAGGATAATAATGATTTTGACATTCATTAACAAATTTACCAGGAATAAAGATGTTTTTGAGGATATTATCAATGATAATTTTATCCAGGATAATGATGATTTTGAGGATATGAATGTTGAGGAGTCAAAACATTCAGCATCTTTAGTTCCATTCACATCAAACTTCATTCAAGGTAATTCTAAACATATTTAAACAATTTTTTGATTTTGACACAAATTACATTTTTAATATAGGCTGTAACTGTGTGTCATTATCCTAATGGTACAAAAACGTGCATTGAAATCTTAAAATTCGACATTTTTATAAAATTAGTCATATTAGCTTGATGTGTTGTGGCAAGATTTTCAGTTATTCTTTTTGAAGCTGATAAATGTAGCTGATAAGTTTCAACATTTTTATTACAAAACGAAGCCATGTTAGCTTGTTTTTTTATGTCCTGTAAACAACTATAATTCCACTTTAAACACAACCGTTCTCATCGTATAACTTAGTAGTCAATATACGATCTTTCTCAAAATCAGGATATTTGCGACGAGCATATGGATTTGGTTCCCAAAGTTTACCAAACCCTGAAGAAGAAGTTAAAAATACAATGCACATTCAGAACAGAAATATGAAAGTTGATCAGGATGCTTCGAACCATCAAAGAAAGATGAGACAAAGATTAGGGTTTCTCAGAAATTCCGATAAAAAACATCCGAGACAGAGTTCTCCAATGTCTAGGTATAAGTTACTTTTAAAAACAAATCTTAAAAAATAATTGTAATTTAAGATTTTAAAAAAAAAATCTTTTTTGTCCGTCGGATATAGCCGGCACACTCCCAAACACAACAAGTTAATAAATGCCAATCTTATAATTCACAACTCAATAAACAAATAACATTTTTGGCAGATTTTCCATGTAATATTAGAAATGTAATAAAAAACATTACAAATATCATTTTGCTGTTAACGGAAAAAAAGTTTTATAATGTTAATTCCTTAAAACTAAAATTTTCCAAAAAATATATTAATCTAAAACACTATCCATTTTTTTTTCTGAGAATTAAAAAATATTGAAATTTAGGAGAAAACAAGACAATTTACCTCGTGTTAAACCAGGTTCTGGAAAACTGAACGTGTTCAATGCCGCAGATAAAAGACATAATAGAATCCCAGGTACAGACCAGTTTTTAAAAGTCTAACATGTTTTTACAACTCTTTTTAAATTCAAAAATGTTTCAGAACGTTTTCAAAAACAATGCCCAAACTAAGGTTCTGATTGAAAGATTTAATTAAAAACGTCATGAAAAATTAAAAAGTTATCTTTCCGTTATATCGAATTTTTTTAAGTCGCTAACTTAATTGTTGGGGTACTCAAAAGGTTTTAAAAATGGCCAAAAAAGGTCGGAAAATGTTCAAAATAAATTATTTTTGTTTTAATAAGACGCTTTTACATCGATTTTTCAAGTACTTTTCAAACATGTAAGCTTTACATTTATAACTTGAATAACAAAAAAGTAGGGGACTGTTTTACTTTTTTTCTCAAAATTAAAAGTCATTTTACTTAAAAGTTTTGAAATGTTTCTTGTTTAGACCACAAAATACTGGATTCCTTTTATTTATCTTAGAAAAAAATGTAGAGAGATTAGAGACAGAGGAAGATGAAAATTCTCAGGTTGGTTTTAGAATAGTCAATGACAACCTGACATTCTTTAGAGGGACTGCAAGAGGGAGGGAAGGCACACCACACCATTTTTTCATCTCACCACAAATGACGTCAAAATTTACCCTTTTATATTCTTTTTTAAGTGGTTTAAACTATTTTAGTCGAATTTTTAGCCGCGTCATGTTGTTTATAATGGTTTAACATTTTTTAAATTTTGTTCTTAAAGAAGAACATCTTATGAAGGGGACATTAGGAATAAAACAATTTATGGACATTTCTATATGATAATACCTCAAGCAAAAACAAAATGTGAATTTTTAGTTGAAGATTCTAAAACTCCAGCCAAATATAACCAAAAGTTTGCACTTTATAAGTAAAATAAGAAAACAACAGAAAAGTGTGTTCCGGACGAAAAATATGTTAGGTGCACACATATTTTTCGTTTTTTGGCTACAAAGATTGTTTTAGTTTTCAAACAAAAATCAACAAAATCAACCCTATGTTGAAAAACATGACGTTGCCTAAATTGAAAAAAATGTATGATCGGAAGAAATAATGGTGAGTTGTGACGTCATTAGTGGTGTGCACGAAAAAATGGTGAAGTGTGCCTTCCCTCTCTCTCTGTAGACGCAATTTTAAGTGACTCTCAGATTGAAAACACAAATCCTTCCTAACATTTTATAATAAAATCTTAAAGTTATGTTTTTACTGCTTTCTGAAAAAAATTCGCATTTTAGATGAGACTTCAGGAGAGTAGATATCATACAACCAGAGGTGACTGAATTATAGAATGTTTAAAAAACATAAAGGGATATAATGATAATATTTCTTTAAAAGCGGCGCTTTAAATTGTATAAGAAGGAAAGGGTATGTAGATGTCTTTTGTTTGAATTTAAAAGTTTGAACTTGATTTACAAGAACCGTGAAATCTCAAACCACGGGCTTTCAACTTTTAATTTGGTCCGAGGATTTAAATTAAATTTCTAATTAATCTCATTTTTTTGTAGAACCAACATCTCTCTTGCATCAGCACTTTTTTACGTCTAGACCTTCAAGATTATCCGAGGGTAAAATAGATTTAGAATTTCTTTAAATTCAATATATTAAATAGTTTTATGTTAGTCTGGAGGGCTTTATAAACATAACTCGTGGTTAATATTAAAAAGGCGAGCAATAAAAAGGTTTTTAACCTATAACTTATAGGTTTGCTTGTCAAAAGTTTATTGGATACTGACCATTATATTAATAGAGCCATTAAAATTTCACTGCATGCAAATCAATTTACATTACTATTACCATTTTGTAATCTCGTAGCTCCTCTAGTTCTCATTTTACTTGCAAGAATAAGAAAAGGTAAATTTTCAGTTACATAAATGAAACCCAACACATTTTAGTTTTCTCACAATAGTTTCAGTAGAAGTAAATATTTCCATTTACTGATAGCGCCGATTGCAGGATTCATAACTCTAATTGGATAATGAGATAGAAAGATGAATGTTACCGCCATACTATTTCTATTGGTTCAGAATAGACAACAAACACATTACTGAACCCTAATTGGAGTGAATAGCTCGTTTATAAAATTAATCTATGGTTGAAAACATATAAGATTTAAATATTGCGTCCAATTTGATAAAGCTTAATGTGCAATTCCTTTCATTGTGTTCTTTTTAGATTTTTTTTAGGTTCTTTTGGAAAATATAGAGAAGAACTAAAAGGAGATGAAAGCAACAGGTAATTTAAGCAATAACAGAAAAAAATGTTTAATTAAAACGAATTAAAAGTTTGAATTTTTGGGATATTTCAAAGGAAACTCCTAAAAATTTAATTAACCGAAATACAGTTAAATCATTCAACTTTATTTAATTCTTTTTAAAATCTTTCAGTAATATCTTAGAGTTAACATAGAGTTAAAAGCACAACTGTTTTGGTTAACTTTTAAAACAAAATTGAAATATTTTGGAAAATATTTGAAAAAATATAACCTATGAAATATCTTGCTTATAAAGTTATCAACAATTACAAGTGTTTCCCTTCGGAAAAAATAAAGTTTAATTACTCGTTGATTGTAAAATTTTGCACTAAAATGATAAAAGCAAGAAAATACTTTTTTTAAAGAAAATTGTAAATATCTTATAAAAGATATATTTTCAAAGAATTGAGTCTTCATATAAAACCTTTATTATGGTATTACAGACATTTTGTAACGCCAGAATATCCTGGGTTTGGACCTTCTTATAATTCTCACACGCCTTACAGTAACAAGTAAGCTTTTTATTAAAACTTTTGAAAAAATAGCAAAAATTTTTTTTTTTTAAATGTTGACAATTTTCGACAGTTGTTTTTTTTAGCCAAGTTTCTAATCAACATACCTAGTGAAATGTTTTATAAAAGCATGCGTGTCAAATTTTCAATTTTATACATTTTTAACAATTTATTTTTTGAATTTATTTTTAAGCCTCCCTTTCATTTTCAACATTGAGTTTAAAGGTACGAAATCTGTTTATAAAATGAGTATGGCTTGAAAATGTGACACGTTTATAACACCAGCCTTCAATTTTTCTATGAGGGGACATGCTTTACATATTTGATCTTTTTGTAACTTTTTGTAAAGTTTGAAGCATGTCGCCGTAGGTCAACCTAGGACTACACAGAGATCCTTCAACAAGGAATACAGGTACATAAACAAACACAAACAAACAAACAATTGTCAAAGCAAACAAATAAACAAACGGAAACAATTGAAGAGACATTTAAACTCAACTTATTAATTGAAATTTGATCTTATTATCTTGTAACATGAACCATACTTTGATTTGACATTACTGGTACAACTTTGTGATTTATTTAGTAAAATTATTTTAATTGTTCTTCTCAATAGCTCTTCAACAACAGGAGTTATGATTGAAATCATATTTAAACTAGATGTAAAATTGTCTATTGATTTTTCATTATTTTTCTTGCGCATTTTGTATCTCTGTATGTTTCAGTTTATTGTATATTTTATTCAGTTCATCCTTCGACAAAGGTGGTTTTTCAAAACACAGTGTTCAAAATTCACAGAATGGAGGTGTACATAATGGAGGTGCAAGGAATGGAGGTGTACAAACTGACAAGAAAATCGGGAAATCAAGTGGAACTGCACAGTACAGCAGTGAAATTGGAAAGTACATCAGTGGAACTGGAAAGTACAGCAGCGGAACTGGAAAGTACAGCAGTGGAACTGAGAAGTACAGCAGTGGGACGGGAAAGTACAGCAGTGGGTCTGGAAAGTACAGCACTGGAACTGAGAAGTACAGCAGTGGGTCTGGAAAGTACAGCACTGGAACTGACAAGTACAGCAGTGGGACTGAAAAGTACAGCAGTGGAACTGAGAAGTACAGTAGTGGAAGGCAAAAATACAACAGTAAGGTGGGTCTTTAAATGGGACTGGGACATTTTCAAAGAATGCTACATCACTAAAGATTTATATTATAAAAATGATGATTTATAAATCCTTTATTTAGATGAACCAGACAAAACCTTTTCCAACTAGAGCACCTCCTAGTTCCCCTTCAGCAGGTATCTTCCACCCTCTCCCCTCTCATCTTTAGAAAACTAGCTTTTAAAAGTAAACCCACTTGACAAACAGAGATTACAACTTTATTTTTATAGGTTATAGATAACACAAATGTACGTTTTCTATTAACATATTTGTATCCTGTTACTGTGCAGTAGTGTGTACCTTTATAAATTGTCACCATGTTTAGGTTTATCTTCAATGAGCAATATTTTTCCTTCAAAAGAAACCCCTGCAGAATCCTATTACAGGTGAAAACTAAATTTTTTTTAAATTAAATATATTCTTAAAAAATTGTGACCGTTATACTAGCTGAAGGGCCCAGCGTTGCCATTGGAATTTTGAAAGAAAAAAATTTGATTTTTAAAAAAGAAAAATTTCCATTAAAAAAAAGGATTTTTGAAAAAAAAACTTCGAACTTTTTTAGCCTGTGTCACCCCCTGCAGGCTAACCGGATAAGTGTTCACAAAAAAAATCGGTCCAGTCGTTTGGCAGACTATAAGAAACATGTTTTAAATTCAAATGCCTTGCTTTATTATTAAAGATATAATAAATATTGTGGTATCTGGGAACCACAAAACGTGCATTGAACTGGTATCTAAAATCTACACTTAATAAGATTTATACAAGTACTTAAACCTGTTTATATCTATCATGTGAGTAACCTGTTGACATTGCAGATCGGGTTAGTCCTATTCCGCGGGCCTAACTCCTCATGCGCTGTCATATATATTTGTAACCTGGCATTACAATACTTCAGCTATCTCCATATATCGAGATAGCTTTATATGTTTAAATGCACGTACATAAATAGCACCCTAATAATAAAGTCATTCACATGTATAAGTATATTTATTGATACATTTAATCTTACATTTATAAATGCATACTTATATATCATGTACATAATAATAATAGCTTAACATTAGCTCTAGATCCCTTGGTATTATTAAGGTCTCTTAGCTTGACGTTTAAGCACTGTCTCAGTCAGGATACCGAGTCTAGAGTGTAGGACTAATATAGTTTTCAGTCCATCAATCAACTTCATATCCTTATTATTGCAGGTATGCTGGTCAACCCGCTCCTGTAATATCTGGAGCAGATCCCAAACCTGATTGGACAACCTGTCCCTGACCTCCATCATTGTTGGGTCAGGGTGCAGCCTGTACTCCTGCTCTATAGCCTTCCCTGTGTCCCATACATTAACGTTAGGGACAACTGTAGGCTGTTGTGAGCTAGTGTCCCTAAGGGACATTATACTCCCTAGCTCCTGGTCCAATCCTTGTAAGCCCTGGGTCACTTCTCTATTAAGCTCCACTAGCTCTTCAAGGACATCCTGCATTATCTTGGGCAGATCTTCCTCATCATGATCTTCATCTCCATCCTCTACAACCTCCTCAGCTACATCTTCATCCTCTGAAGCAGGAACAGTGACAATTGGAGTGTTCCCACTTATAAGAGGAGCAAGGTCTGCTGGATCAACATCCTCTCCTTCGTCCGGTTCTAGTTCCTCAACATAGGCAGGGTTCCACACTATGACTGGAACGCGGTTCATCGTCTTCTTCTTATATCTCGTTCAGAAAGGTTCTCTCTGTAAGCTGTCTGTGCACTGTATGTAGCACAGGTCCCAGGACGGCTATGTGCAGGAGACTTATGTCTACTCTGCAGCGGTCCGGGATGTACTGATCCATCTGGCTTCCTGTTGGATTCAAGGGACTGTTCACTCATATATCAAACAATCCGGAATACAACAATATATATATCTATATTTATGTATTATAGGAAAGACTCGCAACTCAGTTCTAAACCGACCTTAAAACCTCAAATAGTGTTGGACAAGGTAGACATTCTAAAATTCTCCTAAAAAGTGAAACAAAAAAATTATGAATTTAATTTAAAGGTCAGAAGTGTTTCTGAATCTTTCAACTCCTTTAAAGGTAAATATTGTTTAGAAACATCAAGTCATTTTTTAAACTTTAGATTTTTTCTAAATGATATTTCGTTGTTTAAGGAAAATTGGATTTTGATTCATCAAACAGTAGAACTACTGACTCCAAGGAAAATCAACAAAATGGGTTCTTTCAACAATATTCTAGGCATTTGAACAAAACAATCTTAATATTTTTAATTTACACAATTGTAATTTATAATATGAATTTATTTTTTTGAAATTTTAATTGAGTAAAATAGAAATTGATTTATTAATTGTTGTTAAAAATAAACAGAAAGACATTTTAAAAATTGTTAACATGTTCACAATATATACATTTGTAATCGATCAATTAGAGAAACTGAACACTCGACACTATAAACTATAACAACTTTATAATTACTTTATCTTTGCAACCTAATGTTGCAGAAATTTTATTTGTGAACTTTTTAAATCAAATGATTAACATTTGAAATATAAAAGGTTTACAACAAAAGGTCGTCATTTGAATTTGTGATAAACTATTCATTGGCAAAATTTCCCATATTTTAGAAGAATTTAAGAAGCCTTCAGAATTGATAACTTGATTTTTGTGTGCATTTGTGTCAAAGCCTAAAATAATTTATTTACATAAAGAATGTAAAAAATTATTTCTTCCACTAGGATAAGAATGAAAAACTATTTCTATAAATCTATTTCTAGTCTTTGCAATTAAGTTTTTTTCGAAATAATAATATTTCAGAAGAAAGCTGCCTTAATAAGAGACTTATTACAAAAATAATTTAGTCTGCAAAAGGAATGTAAAACTTTCATTTCGTTTAATGGGAGAAATGATTTGTAAGAATCTATTTTTCTAAACTTTGCAATTAAGATTTTCTATGAAAACTGCGACAAAACTAAAAGATGATTTGCAGTTGAAGTCTTAATCTTCAGATTATTTTGTTTAAACTTGCTGCAGTAACCTAACTCCTGATTTGTCTACAGAAATAGCAGGATTAATCAAACCCAATCTTGATTCAAACCTTCTTCAATATTTAACAAAGGTTAGTATTATGATCATAAATATTTTAGATGGGCTTCGTCAACATTTTTGTTAAAAAATAATTGTTTGTTTCTTTATATATATATATATAACTCTCTCTGCTATACTATCCGTACATGTACTCTTTGCAATTTTAAATGTTTTTTCTTTGAGGAATCAAATCTGTGACAACTTTTAACTGTTGGATTTTAAATATCTTTACTTCTTAGAAAGCCAATGACGAAACAAAGCAGAATGAACAAGTTTTGCAAAAATAGTTGGCAAACATCTTTGCACATATGCCTTCAAAGTTAATTTGATCATTTTTGGTCTTTCTTCATTTGCATTTACACAAAAGGTTTTCAAGAATTTTGCAAATATTTTTCGCATAACTGAAGTGTTATGACCAAATCTCCCCCTATCGTTTTTTTTGCGAAACTCAAAAAGTATTTGGGCTCGGAAGCTCAAATTTTCTGACTTTTCTAACTAACACATGCGCATCACTTAAAGCTAAAAGATGGGCTTTTATACCTACTGCCTTAGTCCTTAGGCATACTGCCTAAATGCCTTATTTTACCTTTACCAAGACTTAATCTATATTTAAACCTACAATTCCAGTCATTGGATTTCAACATTTTATAGCTCTTTGGAAAGCCTGAAACAAAAGCAACCAGATTGCACAATCTTTGAAAAGATATTTTGCACAGATTTTTGCACAAACGCCTTTAAAGGGAATTTGCAAATTTTCATTTTTTCTTGAATACACATTTAGGTTTTCATGATTTTGCAAATGTTTTTGCTCATTAAAAAAGGTGTAATTTGTTGCAATTTGCGCATTTTTTTACGCATTATTTGCTTTTTAAGAAACCAGACGTCAAAATATTTTCCTAGGTGGCAACATACCAAAAGCGGCATGGCAACTTTCAAAGTCTGCCCTAGCCGCAACACTCGTCCCCCTAGTTTGTAATAGCCTCAAGGACCGGGCCTCATAGGGCCTAAGCATACTAAGTTGCCCCTTGGTAAATTGTATATTTGGGAAGTTGGCACTTGGGAAAATGTCACTTAGACAGTCTTCCTTGGGGAAAATGTCTTGAGGATAATACCTAACTTTACAGGTGCAGGATATACCATTGATGGCGGATGATCTATCCACCAGCTATCAAGTGCTGGGACATACTTTTCATAATTTGGGACAAACCTTACAGATGCTGGGACACAGGTAAACGAGGCCGTGGATGTCATCTTATGTGACCTTGAAAAAACAGTGTGTCATTTCCAATTTACGTTGAGGAATGGATCTTCATTGTGTTTATAAAGAGAGGGCACATTTGAAAAAAATGGGAAAAAAGAAATCTCATTTATTTTAGATTAGACATAGATCTGGAGGTACCATCGTGAGACGGACATTGCTTCTAAATAACAATTTTAAAGTCCCTTTATAATATTACGTCTTCACTCTTCAGTCTTTTTTTAACTGTTTAAAGACCAATTTAACTTTTGTATTCCTAAACTGTAATAAAATGTAATATAGAAGCACCAAATCTTACTGCATATTAGGTACCAACAAGAACAGATTATGAAAATGAAAGAGGAAGAGGGACAGCAAACAAGTAACAGAAAGGTGTATATTTTAGTTCTGATTTAGATAAATTTGTAGTTTGATGAAAAGAAATTGAGTCTTTGTTAATATATTTCAAACTTTAAAACACATCAAATCAAATAAATTAAATTTGAAAATCAATTGATTACAACGTTAGAATGTTGTTTAGAATGTTGAAGTAAAGATGCCAGCACTGCTATTATATTTTTGTTTAGAATAATGAATAAAACATGCCAGCACTTCGGTTATACTATTGTTTAGAATGATGAAGTAAACATAGCAGCACTGCTGTTATATTATTGTTTAGAACAATGAAGTAAACATGGCAGCACTGCTGTTATATTATTGTTTAGAATGATGAAGTAAAGATGTCAGCACTTCTGTTATATTATTGTTTAGATTGCTGAAGTAAACATGGCAGCACTGCTATTATATTATTGTTCATAATGACGAAGTAAAGATGGCAGCACTGCTGTTATATTATTGTTCATAATGACGAAGTAAACATGGCAGTATTATCAATGNTAATGAAGTAAAGATGGCAGCACTGCTATTATATTATTGTTTAGAATGATGAAGTGAAGATGGCAGCTCCAAGAATAAAAATAAACCTCAGTATTGGGGATGAAGAAGTTCAGTTAGGTAATATTTAATTAGACATTTTTTGATCAGCTTTGTTAAAATTTAAGGATTTTACAAATCCTTTAATGCAAAAAGGAATTGATTCCTTGCCGCAAACTAAAACTTTTTATTTTTGCACCTGATGGAAGTAAAAACTCTTTAACATCTTGGTCTTGAAGAATTTATAGTTTTATGAAAACAGATTAAAAAGATATAAGAAAAAAATTTGATTTTTTGCGAGCAATTATTTCCTATGCGAATTCTGCGAAGTTTCTATACAAGGATGTTTCCATAGAATTGAAATTATACAAAATGTTTAAAATGATTACTAAAAGAAGTTATATTTTCAAGAAAAACTTATCCTCAGTTATTCCTCAAAAAATTATTATTTGCTAGCATTTTGCATAAAAGTAATTCTTTTTAACATGTGATTTAAAATATGTTTAACATTTCATACGTTTTTTAATCTAAATGTTTAAAGGGAAATATACAATGACCAAAAATATTGATATTTTTTTTGGAATTCTTTTATTAAAAATTTTATTTTAAAATATCAAATTTAGATATGTCTACGTTATATTGAAGTATTTATTCTCAGAATAAATCGTAAAAAGTCTTATCTACAGTGAAACCCATAAAACTGGGGAAAAATCAAATGTTTTACTGAACATGAAAATCATCAACTGTGCAATGACATAAAGTTGCTTAGATGTCGTCTTCATATTCTATAGTTGTTTTGATCTTATTGTATATGAAGCAGTGCAGTTTCTATTCAAGCTAGCATTTATATTTCTATTTTATTTTATTTTATTAGATTTAAGATGTTAAAAACACAACTTTTATAGGTGAGAAATCTGTGACGAAAGGTCTGGACTCTGGAATTACTCGGCGTGTTTATACAAAGAATAAAAAGTATTTATAAAAAGTTATAAAACTGGAAATATTTTTATAAAAATGTAGAAAAATATTCTTCTCCAATAAATGTTATTTTGTTGATTATTTGTATTATTTATAGATGGAATTAAATTCTATTATATTACAGAACAGGATGTATCTACTGATTATATTTTCGATTTGCTTTTGCAAAACCTTTTGTTGTTTGTTTTACTCTTCTGTATGTTTCTGTTACTATGCTGTTTGTTTGTGTTACTCTTCTGTATGTTTCTGTTACTATACTGTTTGTTTGTTACACTCTTCTGTATGTTTCTGTAACTATACTGTTCGTTTGTTTTACTCTTCTGTATGTTTCTGTTACTATACTAATGTTTGGGTTACTCTTCTGTATGTTTGTGTTACCCTACTTTATGTTTGTGTTACTCTTTTGTATGTTTCTGTTACTGTTCTGTATGTTTGCGTTACTTTACTGTATGTTTGTGTTACTCTTCTGTATTTGTCTGTCACTCTTCTGAATGTTTGTGTTACTCTTCTGTATGTTTCTGTTGCTGTTCTGTATGTTTGTGTTACTCTACTGTATGTTTGTATTACTCTTCTGTATGTTCCTGTTACTCTTCTGTATATGTTTGTGTTACTCTATAGTATGTTTCTGTTACCATAATGTATGTTTTGTGTTATAATAATGTATGTTTATGTTACTCTTCTTTATGTTAGTGTTACTTTTTTGTATGTTTGTGTTACTCTACTGTATGTTTGTGAATTAATCTTCTCCGTGTTTGCGTTACTCTTTTGTATGTTTGTGTTATTTAACTGTATGTTTGTAAATAACTGATCTGTATGTTTGTGATCTCTGCGTGTGCATTTCTGTTGTTCAAGGAACAAAAGTTAGAATTGCCCCTCATGGGTAAATTAAATGGGTTTTTTCCAGAAATGAGGATACAAAAAGTTATTTTCATATTAAATTTACTAAATCTTTAGAGATTGACAGCTTCAAAAAATTTCATACAGGAGTTTTAACCATTTTGATTTTTTTAAATGAGAAAATTTTATTCAGTCGTCTCTGATGTCTCTGTTGAACTATGGGTACGTAACCCTGTATATCTTACTTATTAATAATTTCATGATTAAAAATGTATTGCAATAGGATTAATATAAAATTGACAAGATCTCAAACAAATTTGTTATTAAACTTAATCAAAAAATTAAAACAGATAATTTTTCCGTTTTATTGATGAACAAATTGTTTTGTCTTGTAAACAGCTTGAGTTGGATTTGAAAATATTAATTATATTAAATGGTCTAATTTAATCTAATTGAATATAAATGGTCTAATTTAATCTAATTGAATATAAATGGTCTAATTCAATCTAATTAAATCTAATTGAATCTAAATGTTCTAAAATGTCCACGAGGAAACCGGAAACGCACTCTGTGAATTCAAAAGTCTCCAGCTCTGATTTAACTACAACTTTACAAGCGTTCAATTCTTGTATTTTGTTACATCATATTAGATGGAACAGTTTGCCTACGATACTTCCTCAAAACCTAAAAAATTACTACCTTTATCTTCATCAGTAAAACATATAAAACATTTTCATATTTTGGCAAAACTTAAATTACATTTTTGTCAGAAAAGAAATTAAGTCAAATTTCTTTTTTTGATTTTTAGGATTTTTAAATCAAGAATTTTCTTTCCGCATGAAATAATTTCCAACATTTAAAAAGTCCGTATAAAGTTTAAACTATATTTTATAGTCACCTGATCAGAACTTGCTGCTTTTTCATCAATCTTCTCCATTTCCATTTCAACTTTTCGAAGCTACAGGGTGTCCCAATAAATATGATAATTAGTTGAAAATCGTATTTCTTATTTTTAGATTGGACGACTTTAAAAAATGATGTAAATCATTATTTATCGTCTTCATGTCTAAACAAATTAAAAAGAAGAAAATTTTAAGTTTGTCAATTAATTTTCATGTTTAATGGGTGTACCTGCACAATGTAGACTGTTTGAACAAATTAGTAACATATATATATATTTTTTTCCATTACACATTTCAACAGCCAAACGTCGGCTTATTTAAAGGTTGACTTTCAAATAGTTATCGCAATATACAAAGTAAAAAGGGTATCTGAACTTACAATAAAACCATTTGTTAAAATGTTGCGCATTTTCTAAAGAATTCAACGATTTTTTTGATTTTACACAAAACTAACTAGAGTTTTAGAACTTTATTTTTGTCGGAAAATAATATTTTTAACTTTGATGAAAAACTTGAAGTTTAAAATGCTCGATTTAAGAAATTAAATTGGTTCTGAAGGAATTGAGTCTTTGCCACAAATTCTGCTTTTCTAAACCCAATATCTTTGGATTCCAATGTCGTAGACCTTAGATATTTCAAACTATGAATTCTGTTAGATCAAATAATATAAGTTTTAAATATCAAATATTTACGATATTGGGTTCCAAAGAAATAGGGATTATGAATTCAGAGTTTGTGACAAAGACTCAATTCCGTTTGTTTGTTAAAGAAAGAAAAAGTCGACAGGTTTTTTATATTTAACTAAAAAGAAGTTTGTTTTTAATCTTCATGACAGAAACCAAGAACTGACGAGGGTCTACTCAGACCAAAATATATTTTCAATCAAATGTGGAACAAAAATCTACATTTTTCACTCTACAGAGGTTTGGTTTATCATCATCACCGAATAAAAGAAAACAATGATTCCACTATTTTCTAGTTCCCACTGTACCTTGCTAAGATGGGTAATGGCTCTCTCTTCTGCTTGTTCAGCTTGATGTTTATACATACGTACTTTCTTCTCCAACCTTTCAATCAGCTCCTGAAAAATTAATGTTCATACAGTCGACGTCGTACATATCAGACAATGAAGACGACTTTTAATTTAGATTTTTATTCTACCACGCTTTAAAACAGCTTGGATACACATAAACATAGAAACACATAAACATAGAAACAAAGAAAAAAGGCAAATTTCAGATTCTCTTTGTTTTCTATGTAAACTTGTATTTTGAAGAAATCTTTTTATAGACATCAAAACTTAAAAAGAAAAGTCGTCTTCAATTTTTCTAGATAAAAAACGGCGATATCTAAATCTTCGTTATTGTTACTCAGAATAACGTCTAAGAGGTAATGTTGTTAATCGTTCATCTAGAATTCAATTGTTGGTAACGAAATAGCAACCAATTCAAAAATAAATATTTTTGTGAAAAAATGTGTCATGAAGTTTTTGCTTTTTCTGAAAAAGTTTTTAACCTGAAGTTTTGAATAGTTTTCCTTATCCTCTTCCTGTTTTAAATTCAGTTCTTTACAGTGTCTTTCAGATCTTCTGTAGTTTCGGAGTGCTTCGCCTACCTTTGTCTAAATATCAGCTAGTTCACGGGTCCGAACAGATTAAATAAAATGTAATTTTTCATAATATACAGTTGGGGTGATCAATATTTGAATTGAGCCAACCGCCCGCCGAAGGTCGCTGCGTTTTCACTTAAAAAAATTGCAATCGGAAGCAAATTCAAAATCGTCCATAGGGTTCTATTTGACGATTTAATATCGGAGAATTCACCTTAAGTCCTTGAACTTTTTTCAAATTTTCAAGTTATGTATCATTTTCTTGGAAACTTAATGCTGAAGTCAAATCAAAAAGCGTTTAAAAAAATGAAAATAGAGTGAGTTAGAGCTGAAAAACTTATCAAAAACATTAACAAGTTAAAAAACCGGAATCTAGTATCCGTCATTTGGCCATAACTTCCTTACATTTTAATATTTTTAAAAATGGTTTTCGAATCTGAATTCAGCATGAAATTTCCAAGAAAATGATGTATCATATTTACTTTTTGAAATATTTTTTTGTCAGAGCTTACTGGGATTTCTCCAATATTTAATCGTCAATTCGCAACCCTATGGACGATTTTGAAATTTTTTTTATTACAATTTTTTTTTAAAGTAAAAACGCAGCGACCTCCGGTGGGTGGTTGGCTGATTGATAAAAAAAAGTCACTAATCAATCAATCTTAATATACAGACTACAGAGCGTACATATCATATAGGATTATCACCTGCAAGCTTTAAAGCCAAAGTACGAACATAATACTCGAAAAAAAATAGTATTTTATACTTGCAATTTTTATTATTTAGCTAATTATACAATTATTTAAATGATTCATCAATATTTAATTGTTTGTCTCGAAAATTGCATATTAACAGCTAGGATGATCTAATATGATGTGGGACACCCTGTATTAAAAAGACATGAAATATTTATATTGTCTTGCTAATAATTATTTGGTTTGGAAAACGATCTAATATCATGTTATTTTATAAATATATTTTATCTTTTATGCTACCTGTTCAAGATCTAATTCTTCTTGCAACTGTTGAATTCTAAAAATCAGAGAAAAAAATCTCAATGTTTTAATCAATTAATGTAGGTTGTTAAAAAAAATTGAAAAAAAAGTTTTTCTGCATGACACACATATCATAGGTCACAAATCACAATTTTTAAAAACATTCATTTTGTGCATCACAGTTAACATTTTTAAAAACTTGTAGAGAAAAGATTTTATGAACAAATAAAAAAAAACATTACTGTTTAAAAACAGATTGAACCATTTATAATAAAATGAATAATTTTCAAAAGATTTTAAATTCAAAAATAAGACAGTTTTAAAGAAATTTACAATCTATTAGAACTTAAACCGCAAGTCCCACAGAACTTTGGAAATCATTAAGATCGGCTCTAACCATAACTTTACTTTATTACACTAAACTTGGCTTAGTCGTGTCTAGGTTTTTAAAATCCAAGCTCTGGTTGCTGCAGTGAGAACCATGACAAACTCTAGATTAAGAAGACGACTTTTAGGCTCAAAATATGATTTTGATTTGACCCATGTACAATATGTTCATTGTAGGTAAGCAAAACAATTGTGCAGTGTTCAATCCTGTACAGAACATTTCACGTGATAATCGATGTTTAAGATACAAGTAAACCTATACTAAGTTGTAACATGCATCAAATACACCTAATGATTGTGTATAATGCCGTTTTCATATTCCACAGTTTTCTGGTTCTGACTTTATATTCTAACCTTTGTTCTAATCCATCAATGACTCTGCGTCCACCCCTGCTTGATGAACTCTCTGCTTCCTCTGCTTTAGTCACGGCATCCTGGGCAAATCAAGAAATATTTATTATATACTGTACTGTACAGTACTGTACTGTACTGCACTGCACTGCACTGTACTGTACTGTACTGCACTGCGCTGTTCTGTACTATACTTATTGTACCGTACTGTACTGTACTGTACATTAAGTACTGTACCATGTACTGTGTGTAAAACTGCAGTTACTGGAAAGAACAAAGTAAGTATAAAGAGTAAAGAAAAAAAAATAAGGAGAGACATCATAGAGCCATAGTTTGTTTAGATTTTTTACATTATACTCTGACGTATTAGAACAACTCTTTAACAATTTTAATGTAAATATTAACAAATATTGAAAACAAGGTTAAGTATCGGAAAGATTGAACTTTAGCTACGGTGGTAGGTGATTATATCAATTAAATGAAGTCGAATTTTTTATTGAGATTTTAATTGTTAAATAGCTTTTTATCGAATTACAAGTTTACATGTATTCAGTGAAAAGCTTTTTAGAATTGAATGAATCCCTTTTTTCCATGTTTTTGTGCATCCTTGCTGTTTAGAAGCTTGATATAAATCAAAATTGAAATCAAAAGTCGTCTTCATTATATTGATATTATCACCTACCACGGTATACTTTTTTGGATTGGAGTTTTAAAATTTTATATATTAATTCATTTTACAGGATTGAAAATTAGAAAAAAAAACAATTGTATGGTAGTGCTAATTAAAATGGGGTTTTGACTTTTTTAACACTTTTTTCCTTCAGGCAGCTTCAAACGATCATATTTTATTCTACTTTTTATCATTCTCTATATTTAAAAGTGCTTCAAGAGATCCTCTTTGATTTTACTCTTACTTATTTCTTTACCTTTATAAGTGCTTCAAGAGATCGTCTATGATTCTACTCTTTCTTATTTCTTTACTTTAAAAGAACTTTAATAGATCGTCTTTGATTCTACTCTTTCTTTACCTATATAAGAACTTCAAGAGATCATCTTGAATTCTACTCTTTTTTATTTCTTTACTTTAAAAGTGCTTCAAGAGATCATCTTGGATTCTACTCTTTTTTATTTTTTTACTTTAAAAGTGCTTCAAGAGATCGTCTTTGATTTTACTCTTTTTTACCTATAGAAGAACTTCAAGAGATAGTCTTTGATTCTACTCTTTCTTATTTCTTTACTTCAAAAGAGTTTCCAAGAGATCTTCTTTGAATCTACTCTTTTCTATACCTCTAAAAGAATTTCAAGAGATCGTCTTTGATTCTACTCTTTCTCACTTCTTTATCTTTAAAAGGGTTTCAAGAGATCATCTTTGATTCAACTCTTTTTCTTTACCTTTAAAAGAGTTTCAAGAGATCGTCTTTGATTCTCCTCTTTCTCACTTCTTTACCTTTAAAAGAGTTCCAAGAGATCGTCTTTGAATATACTCTTTTCTATACCTTTAAAAGAGTTTCAAGAGATCGTCTTTGATAATCCTCTTTCTTATTTCTTTACCTTTAAAATAACTTTAAGAGATCGTCTTTGATTCTACTCTTCCTTATTTCTTTACTTTATAATGTTTCAAGAGATCGTATTTGATTCTACACTTTCATATTTCTTTATCTTTAAAAGTGTTCCATGCGATCGTCTTTGATTCTACTCTTTCTTATTTCTTTACTTTAAAAGAGATTCAAGAGATCGTCTTTGATTCTACTCTTTTTTACCTTTAGAAGAACTTCAAGAGATCGTCTTTGATTCTACTGTTTTTTTTTACCTTTAAAAGAACTTCAAGAGATCGTCTTTGATTCTCCTCTTTCTCACTTCGTTCTTTTTCCTGTTTTAATTCATCGCTAAGTCGCATCTTATCCTCTACCAGTTTCCTTTATTGATTTTTTTTTACATTTTTGTAGTTGAAAGTGATGATAAATGATATTAATTAAGGTATTTAAGTTTTTCTTTTAGCTAATTTTATTTATGGTTAATGGTGCTGAACTATGCAGCAGAAACAAAAAAGAAAATTGTAAGAATATAGCACATAAAAAATGTAAAACGTCTGACTTCCAAATTGCTAATTTGGTGAATCGGTTGCGCAATTGTATAAAGTGGTGATCACTTTAATTACGCCTTCAATTGCGATTATTTTCAAATTGCTCTGTCATCTGTCATCCTAATACCTGCATTTCTCTTCAGAGAGTTTTACCGCGTTTTGAAATTCTTCCATTTCTGCCTGAATATTTAAAAATAAATTATTTTTGCATTTTTAAAAGAAAAGGACTTTCACTTTGAACATAAAAAACAGATATTCTACAGGCTGGGGCTAGGGTGTGAAAATAAGCACTGGAATTTTAATACTTTATTTCCTATTAATATTCCAGGAATTTTAATACTTTATTTCCTATTTATATTCCAGGAATTTTAATACTTTATTTCCTATTTATATTCCAGGAATTTTAATAGTTTATTTCCAATTTATATTCCAGGAATTACTTCACTAACGGTAAGAGATTAAAGACGATTTGTTCACTGTTTTTTTTATTCAAAAGGATATTTTTTATATTCTTGTGCTTTATTAAATCAATTTTTATCTCTCACCATGATATTATTGTAATCTGTTTCAAGTTTTCTTCTGTTGTTATGTAATGTCTCATGTTCAATGTTTAGCGCTGTCAGTCCTGATTGAACCTCCTATGTTAAAAACAAATAATGTAATTTTTTGAAGAAAAAAATTAACAATTGTGATAACACTGGATTTCAATATTTTTTTTTAATAGAGAATTTTTATATTGAAAAGGGGGATATGAAGAAACAGTAAAGAATGATTGTAAGAAGGACAGGAAAACTATAGGAACGACCATATATTTTTAATAAGGTATTTTTATATTGAAAAAAGGGATATGAAGAAACAGTAAAGAATGATTGTAAGAAGGAAAACTATAGGAACGACCATATATTTTTAAATGTTCTTGTCAAAAGCAAGAGAAAATAATTCCCGCATTTTCAAATTCCGTTATTTATCCAACCTGTAGTTCTGTTTCAGCAATCTTCTTTCCTCGTTCAGAGTTCTCCAATAATGTTCTTGTTTCTTCTAGTTCAGTCATTAGATTGCCAACCTATTCATGGCAAGTTTTACTAACTGTAAAATTAACCTCGGAATAGTAAGCCAACTTTTAGACTTAACTTATGATTTTAAAAATTTTAATGTCCCACGAAACATGACATTTTTGGGGACGATAGTTTGACTGCCAAATGTCTTACGAAATATTCTTATCTGATAGATAGCGCAAAGTGAAACATCATTTGGTCGACCATTGTACAGTGCTGATAAGGAATAGCCTCTGATCAGTAATGCCGCACTTATTTACAATTTGTGTACAATCAAACTATTGTACAAGTCGTTCATAAAACGTAAAAAAGCAAATAGATATATAGCCTCCTATAAAAAGTTAGATCTGTTGACATGAATAAATCGACTTTGATTGGTTGCACTAGCTCACGCTTAAACTTTTGTATAGCACTAAACTTGTCAATTTTAAAAATGTCAAGCACTTGTTTTTGATTTTGGCTTTGAAAAAGTAATTGGCAAAAAATATCATTCGCTTATAATTCCAGTTCTCTGACATTTAGACAACTCAGAAAGTTATTTATCAATTAAATTTTTATTTTTTTAACCTCCCCCCCCCCCCTAGAAAAATATCATGTATATCAAAATATTGGTTTTAGTTACTTTTTAAAATCTTCAGAAAAGCTACTCTGCAAAACTTTGAAAAAATATTGTCTTTGTTTCTAATTTCTAAAAATTTCTTGTCGTCAATGTAGTATGTTAAGATCTTAAATAAATCTAATATGGAAATGAGATTATTTAGAAGTAAAAATGCACTTTTCATTGCCCATACCCTTTTTTATTAAAAAACATCTAATTGTAATGACATTAGAATTTAGAATCATTTAGAATATGTTGACTTAAAATCTGAAATATCTGAAGTATCTGCACATTTAAATCATTTTCTCGCAATTAAAGATATTCAATTTTAAAATCAACCTTTTTTTAAAAACAAAAACAAAGTAACAACTCGCTATTCACGGACTGAATAGTTCAGGGGTAATTACCCCCAGGATTCTAGGGGGGGGGGTACATAACCCCAATAACCCCCCTTATTTACGCCACTGGTTCCAACGCCTTATCTTTTGGTTTTACCTCACCAACTCAATTATAATTTTTGTAGCCCTAGGAATACGCATTTGAAAAGGCAACCCGCTTGTTTCTAGCTGAAGTTTAAGATAAGTAATTGGAAAAATACTG